GCAACTGCATCCACCAGTTCTTTCATACATGCATGTGTATACACAGGGATGTTTACTCAGTCCTGTTCATTCCCAAACAGCAGCACAAGACAGAAGGATGTCTGCATTGTCCCACAGCAGCAAAGGTGATCAAATGCATAGGATGGTATTAGTGAGAGTAAACCTAGAAGGTCAAGGGAAGTGGTTATTTCCCAATATTCAGCACTCGTGAGCTTGCACTGGAAGTGCTGTGCCCAGCTATAGGCTCCCTGGTAAAAGACCAATGTTGACATACTGGAGCAAGTCCAGTGGAGGGCCATGAAGACAATGGGGGGCTGAAGCACACAATGTACTGCAGCAAGGCCGTGGGAGGGCCATGAAGACAATGGGGGGCTGAAGCACACAATGGTGGGGGGGGTGGGGTGGGGGGGGTAAGGAGAAGAAAGAGGTGGGTTTGTTCAGCTTTAAGAAGAGATGGCTAAGTGGCATCATGCTGTGGCCTGCAACTACCTAATGTTCTCTAGAGGTCTTTTCTATAACAAATTATTCTATTACTTTATTTCTTTCAAAAGATACATGGAAGAGGTATAGCTGTATATTAACTGTCTGGAGATCACCCAGTCTAATCCCCTGCTCAAAGCAGAGAAAACTGGAGCAGGTTGCTCAGGGCCAAATCCAGTTCGGTTTTGAATATCTCCAGGATAGGGACTCCACAGTCTCTCCGAGTATCCTATTCAAGTGTTCTACCAACTTTACAGTAGGGTTTTCTTACGTTTAAATAGAATTTCCCATGTTTTGATCTGTGCCAGTTACCTACTGTTCTGTCACTGGAACACTTCGGAAAGAGCCTGTGTCATCTTTATACCCTCCCTTCAAATATTGGTTTATATTGGTGAGATTCCTTCGGAGCGTTCTGTTCTCCAGGCTAAACAGACCCAGCTCTTGTAGTCTTTCCTCATGTCAGATGCTCCAGGCCCTTATTGATCTTTCTGGCTGTTTGCTGGACTCTGTCCAGCATGTCCACGTCTCCCTTGCACAGGAAAGCCCAGCACTGTACCCAGCACTCCAGATGAAGTCTCACCAGTGCCAGGCAGAGGGGGAAAGATCATCTCCCTCATGACCACTGGCAGCCCTCCTAACACAGCCCAGGAGGCTCACAGCCACCCTGGCCACAAGGGCATGGTCTTGTGGTCAACTTGGTTCCCACCAGGACCCTCAGGGCCTCTTCTGCAAAGCTGCTTTTCAGGTGGTCAGCCCCAGCCTGTCTCTGATCCTGGAGTTGTTCCTCCCCAGAGGCAGGACTTGGCACTTCCATTTGTTCAACTTCATGAGATGCCTATTTCCCCAGCCTGATGATGTCCCTGTGAACGGCAGCACAGCTGCCTGGTGTATCAGCTACCGCACCAAGCGCTGTATCATCTACAGACTTGCTGAGGGTGCACTCTGCCCCATCGACAAGGTCATTGATGAAGGTGTTAAACCATGCTGGCACCAGAGCCAATGCCTTGGGTACAAAATGCTTTTTTACATCACTAGAAAAAAATAAGCAAGTGTTAGAACAGCACTTTCCAAGACAATGATTTTTACCTCATTTTCTGAGCGAAGTGCTGAAAATTCACTTTTTTCCAAAATAATCATGTCCTTTTTCACACCACCAATATGGGACATTACTTGCTGAAGTGCAATTTCCTTTAAAAGGGGGAAGACAAAGTTCAGAACATAACATAACTATAATGTTTTTCTCATCTATGCCTACAAATTATAGGCTATTTTGGTACCCTGAACTTTTTGATTCAACCATTTCAGATTCAAATATGATGTCTTGTTTGATAAACTCAAGACACAATTCACTAGCCAATGAACTCACTAGGCCAAACAACACAGGGACGCTTGTTCTTTACCTTCAAACTTTTAAAATAGTTTGTGTATAAATCTAACAGTAAAAAAAAAAAGTGTTTATAATTAATATGTATTCATATAATTACAAATAGATAATAAAAATATTATATATTAATAAACATGTATTTCTTTAGCAGGCATACTAGGTTTTGATTTTCTTTAACCCCACCGTTGTCTCTGATCTAACCTGCTGTACTTTGGTGACCATGTCCTTGTAAATGATATCCAGGTTGGTGTTCATGATTTTCACTAATGCAGACACAATGACCTCCGACTGCTGAATAGTGAACCCTAAGGAAAACAAAATGCAACAACATTCAGAGAGACACCTAAATCCGGACAGTTTACAGAGACGCCACTTGCTAATACTCAGCACCAAGTTAAAACAAATGTCATGTATGAAAGATAATAAAACATACTCCTCTTGATCCAGCACTACCAGAAGAATAAAACTGGTCAGTACATCCAGGTTCCCCCACCACAAAATGATGTCTGTGACACAGTAGTGTTGTACTATGGAAGCAGCTATATTACACTATGAGCAGGAAACTTTCTACAAGTATTATGGAATGTCATCTCTCACATGGTGATTTCTATGAGCAAGAATTCTGACCCTGAAAAGCAAATACTTTCAGTACACTATCAGTCTTCAGTACCACTGAAAAAGTTCTCCGTACAACCGAAAACACAGCCAACTGCTCTGATTTCAGGCCTACCAGCCTGAGCCTGTTAGAAACCTTTTAAACTGAATTGGGAACTATTGTAAAACATTGTCCCTAGAAATATTGTCAACTTTTCCACTTTCAAAATGTCACAAACAGGATTTAATCACTATGAAAAAATACTCTTGCAAAAGCATGATCATTTCAAACTAGCAGTTGTGTCAGAAAAAACTTATAGGGTCTGAGAGTGAGTCACTTTCAGTAGCTGAACTGATAAAATAGTTCGCCAGCACCAAGAGATACCCCTTTTTCATAATCTGTTCCCTTATTTCTGTTTTAGTATAAGAGCATATATTTTATACAGTATTCTACATTCTATCCTAAAAGCTGCCTTTTACATAGTAGTCCATATTCAATCCTATTATAATACACTGCTGCATATTCAAGGTGGTATATACTAAATACATAGGAATCTAATAAGTTTTAAACCACTACCTTGAAAACTGTTTTTTACTCTCAATTCTTAAAATCTAATTTTCCTTTAGCATTTTTAGTTATTAGTAGGATAACAAATTATTCCAATTAAAGTTACATAAGCCCACTTTTTCCTTTTGGAAGTAAAAAAAAAACCCTACATGTTCTTACCCAGTATATAAAAAAGGAAAATATGTAAAACGGAAGCTGTAAGATCGCATGTCAAGGAGAAGCAAGTAGCAAACTGTAAACTAAAAAACTACTCGTGACATGACATTAAAAATAGCTACCCATTTCTAGCAATTTACCATTTTCTTCCAAGAGGCACACCATCGCATGAGTATCAAAAAAAAGCTTCCTATTTCCCAATAAGGAAATATTCCCTTTGCTTTCTAAAGATGATGATGCAGAGATGCTTACATCTGAAAAAAAAAAAAGATAAACAAATCACAAGTTATTTTTAGAAATAGTATTTAATCAACAAGTTTCCTTCCTAGCCCAAATATGGGGCCTGCCTCTTCTCAGTGGTGTCCAGTGACAGGACTGGGGGCAATGGCCATAAACTGGAAAACAGAAGGTTCAACGTGAACACAAGGAAATACTTCTTCACTGTGAGGGTGGCAGAGCACTGGCACAGGCTGCCCAGAGGGGTGGTGGAGTCTCCTTCCCTGGAGACTTTCAAAAGTTGCCTGGACTTGTTCCTGTGTGATCTACTCTGAGTGATCCTGCTCTGGCAAGGGGTTGGACTAGATGATCTCTAGAGGTCCCTTCCAACCCCTTCACTCTGTGAATCTGTGACAAAATATTAGATTGTGCGTTGAGATTACCGCGGCTTGCTTGAAACTGAAAAGGGATCCAACTTAGAAGCCCTATACACAAGAGCCTGAAAACAGAACGTTATTGCTGCACGTTCGAGATGCTCTCCAAGACTATAATGTCCTAGGAAAAATCCCACCATGTGTCTTAAAAATTGTTCCTTTACTGTTATCAGCACAAACGGTGGAAGCTGTGAGCACTTCAAAGCTTTGAGGACTACTTTCCACTCTTTAACAAAGAGGGGATCCGTCACTGGCTACCCTTTAGACAAAAAGTAACCACTCACAATCCGCCGTTTACTACTTTTACAGCAAGTTTTTTCAACACTGAATCCAAACCTAAGACAGTGCAGTTTCCACCTGGACATCTGCACGAACTAGCTGGCAAAAAGAACGCAAAACGGAACAGGAGATAAATAGTCAGGAGGCAGAACTCTCGAAGACACTGTATTTTAAAACACTTGCACAGAAGACACGGCCATGTCTTAAGCCGTCTTACTTAAAGATCAATAAAGGATTCAGCCTTCGGGGGAGAGAAAAAGCCCTGGATGTTACGCCTTCGGCCAGCTCCCACAACTGCTGCGGACACCAGCCCAGCCCTTGTAGGCCCCTGGCTCCCCCGGGGGCGCGGGGCAGCCCCACGCCACTGGGCTCCCAGGGTCAGGTGAGGTGACAGGGGACCCC